CAATAAGTTTCGGGCAAGGGAGGAGGAATTCAGGTAAACAAGCCAGTCAGTAACGGGTTTGGAAAAACAAGTCGTGACAAGTCTCAACATGTTGGGGACAAGTCTCAACATGCTGTGCAGCATAGAGGCCTGTGGGAGCTGCAGTTGTCAATAGTGCAGCCATGTTTAAATGGTATATATCCCCACACACTTTTTTTTTTTTCATCATATTGAATTTACCTCCCCATGACTAATGTGTTCCATTTTTTCACATTACGTTAAAAGCTTTGTTCGAAATTATTAGCTTCTAGAAAAGTTGGATGGACTACGCTTAGTTCATTCATTGGGTTTGAATTATCAGTGGAAGTCACCGAAGCACCCATAGCCCAAACTAGCTTGTCCTTATTGTAAGTGTTCATGCAGCAGCTCAGAGAGAAGGCAGACACAAAAACTATCTCGAGTCCTGCCTTCATGGCCATAGATTGTCAAACATTCCCCCTCCAGACATTCTAGCAGCAAACACGTGAGAGGCGCTTTTGGGAGATGGTTGATGGAGTGTGGCAGTACTGTGGGGATCTAGCAGCTTTATGTCTTAGAAATTGTTCACATCCTAGGCTTCCCAGCTCATTTCAGCAGCATCAGCTCTGTTAATGAGATCATCTTGCAAGGTCCCCACCTACAACATCATGGCCTGAAGATAGCCTGGCAGTAGGAAGATGTATTGAGTATCTATTCTGTGCTGGGCCATGCTATAGGCCCTGGAGGTACAGTAGAGACAAGACAGTAAGGTCCGTGCCTCATAGAGCTCACAGTCTAGAGGGGGAGTGTTTTATAATTTTAAAATATTAGGTGTGGCTGTAGGTTATTTGAATGGTAGAGACACTCAGGTAGATGATGTTTTCACTATCTTTTGGACCTGCCTCAAACCCTGTTGTTTATGGTGCCATAGTGACCCCATGTGACAGAGCACAACTGCCCTATTGGGTTTTCTTGGCTGTAATCTTTATGGGAACAGATCACTAGATCTTTCTCCCATGGAACCACTGGTTGCATTCAGACTGCCAGCCTTTCAGTTAGCAGCTGAACACTTAACCGTTGTACCACTAGGGCTGCTTTACACTCAAATAGATGAAAGGCAGAACTCTTTGTTACTTACAACTCCAAATGAGAGAAGACCCCACTGGATTGCACTCTGGGACAGGGTAGCAGCAAACTGGAGTTATAGAAGGGGCTGAAGTATGGCAGGTGAGGTGGGGTTAGCTAAGTTTTGTGAGTTCCCTGTGGATTGGCTAATTTGAATACTTTCATGGGTTCCGAGACATAGAAACTTTCCCTAGTTGTTAGGTGCCAAGCCCCGGGGTGATTAGGGTGGGTGTATAGTGGCCCCAGAGTGTGAGAGCCCCACAAGGGAAGTGGTTGGGATGTGGACTTAATCTGCTGTTCAAGAAGGGGAACTGACCGGCCTGTGGACAGGGCCTCAAACTGGTCAAAGGAACATTAAAAAAAAAAAAAGCCATATTCCAGAAAAACAGACAAGAAATAAGTAAACAAGTAGTAAAGTGATTTCAGTTAATAATAAATGCTTTGAAGGAAATAAAAAGAGTGATGTGATAGAGACCGGGGATGAGGGTGGAGGGGGAGAGTCTGCAGAGGTGCTGCTTTAAATGAGACCTGGTTGGTAGGAAGAATCCAGCCAAGAAAAGAGCCTTCCAGGCCGAGACAAAGGTCCCCTGGTGGACTGAGCTCCAGAAATGGAGAGAACACCGATGTGGCTGTAACATAGCCAGAGAGGTGGTGTGATACCAGAAGAGATCAGAGACGTCGGCCGTGGTGCGGGGAGATCACGTCACAGCAGCCTCATTGACCTTGGTGGGAACGACGGGATTGCATGTGAGGGGAAGCCACTGCAAAGTTTTAAGCTGGACGTGGTAGGCAGAATAATGGCCCCTGAAGATGTTCATGTCCTGATCCCAGGAACAGTGAATAGGTTAAATTGTGTGGTGAAGGAGAATTAAGGTTGCAGATGGAATTGAGATTGCTCGTCAGTTGACCGTAAGATAGGGAGATCATCCTGGATTTTTCTGGTAGACCCAGTGCAATCACAAGTGGACCTGAAGCTCAGTCCACCAGAAATCCTTTGCCTTGGCCTGGAAGGCTCTTTTCTTGGCTGGATTGTTCTCAATGATCAGGCCTCCCTGATCACTTAAGTACTTCCTTAAAAGTAGAAGAGGGACAGGAAAGAGTCAGAGGAGATACGATGACAGAAGCAATGTCAGAGAGATGCTACGTTGCTGGATTTGAAGATTGAGGAAGGGGCCACGAGTCAAGGGATGTGGGCAGCCTCTAGAAGATGGAGGAGGCAAGGACGTGGATTCTCCTCCTAGAGCCTCCAGAAAGGAGTGCCACCCTGCCGACTGCTTGATTTTAGCCCGGTGAGACCTGTGCCAGACTTCTACACCTGTGCCAGACTTCTACAGAACTGCAGGATAGCACATTTGTGTTGTTTTAAGACTCCAAATTTGTGATAACCTGGTCCAGCAGCAAATAGAAAACTAATACACAGGGAAATACATGAACTGAGTTTTCTTCTTAAGTCACTGTGGTGGTAAGAATAGGAGCAAGGAGATTACTTAGGGGCTGTTGCAGTAGGCCCATGTGAGAGAGAGGCTGGATTAAGATGACAGTAGACATGGGCAAAATGGACGGATTCAGGATCTGTCTTGGAGAGAGAGCCTACGATAGTAACTGTTGGACTGTATAGTATTGTGTTGGGTAAGGCCAAGAAAGGTATTGAATATCAAGTCTGACGCTTTTAGCCTGAGCAGTTAAGAATTAAGATGGGAAAAACTTGGTAGGGGGTAAGACGTTATATACAGGCTCCTTTGGATGCCTAACAGGGTGGCCAAAATTATGTAATTAGCTTTTCTTCTTGAGACCCATATGGATTATGGAGGACACGAACATATGGCATAATGAGGATGTTGATTGTAAGCTATGTGGATGTGAGAAATGAGGAATTTTTATTTTATTTTTTAAGTGCTGAGAAGAAAGGCATCGACTAGTGCAGTGTTGGATAGATGGATGGGAAGTTGCCGTAGCAGACAGATTAACAGTCTGTATTGGTATACCCGTTGCTGTCAAGTCAATTCCAAGTCATAGTGACCCTATAGGACACAGTAGAACTGCCCCATAGGGTTTCCAAGGAGTGGCTGGTGGATTAGAACTGCTGACCTTTTGATTAGCAGCGAGCTCTTAACCCCTGCACCACCATATTGAGTGCTAACTATGTGTCAAACATATGACTGTGTGCTCCCCATGCGTTATGTCCCTCAACCTTCCCAGCAAACTCATGAGGTAGGTACTTTATTATTATCCTGTGTTCTAGACAAGGACACTGAGGCTTAGAGCTGAAGAAGACAGCTAGTAAGTAGAGGAATGGAGAGTTGAGTCAAGGTAGTCTGGGTCTTGAGCCTGCTGTCTTAACCAGAGTACTCTATTGCTTAGAAGAGCAAATAGATCTTGTTGTTGTGTGCCATTGAGTTGATTCTGACTCATAACAACCTGATGTGACAGAGTAGAACTGCCCCATTGGGTTTTCTTGGCTGTAATCTTTACGGAAGCAGATGGCGAGGTCTTTCTCCCGTGGAATCTCGGGGTGGGTTTGAACTGCCAACTTTTCGCTTAGCAGTTGAGTGCTTAACCGTTGTGCCACCAGGGCTCCTTAAATTGATTTTAGAGGAGGCTGAATCTCCCTTTATTCCCAGCCCATTGGGAAGGGGCAGGCTAAGAAACAGCATCAAATTCCTGGAAAGAAGTCCAATAGAAAGGGGTAGCAGCAATATTGACAGCGCAGGCATCAGGGTTTTCAGACTCAATCATGCGGATTGCCCAAATGATATTGCCCAAAGGTGAGGTTTGGTCATTCAGCTGCCAGCTCCAAGCCAGAGGGCACCCAGCTGGCTGCTGTTCTCCCGAGGAATGCGCAGCACGTGAAAAGGCAGCTATCAGGCAGTGAAGAAAGCACCCTTAACTCTAATATAATGAGTGAAGATGTAATAAAACCTAGATGCGCTAATTATGCTAATTATGCTAATTATGGAATCCTGCCCAACTTCAGGGTTTGAACAGTCATGTTGGGAAGGATACGGCCACCTTTCTGGTTTGACTAGAAATTGTAAAAAAGAGCACACTTCTGTGGGACTCTCAGGAGCACGTGTTCCGTTTTATGTGGGCCCATCTCATAAGAAGAACCAAGCGTGCCATCTGATTAATTCTCGCCTGCAAAGTGGAATTCTAATCTTCTAGTCTCACTCCTTCAACTCTTTGATATAAGCATTATATTCACGGGGGTGCAGGGATACTCTAGAGAGAGCCTTCCATTTTACGACTGTGTGTGTGTGCGCGTGTGTGTTTAGCAGGGCTGTAGGAGTTGGGTTTTTGTCGTTGCCTGTCGGCCTTTTGTAAGTGGAGAAGAGCATGCAGTGGTTAAGAACACAGGTTCTGGGGTCAGATGACTGACATTTGATTTTGGCTCTGCACTTGCAATTTGGGAGACCCTGAGGAAGCTATTTAACTTCTCTAATCCTCAGTTTTCTCGTTTGTAAAGTAGGTGTAATAACGATAATACCTATTTGGTGTGATGTTTATGAGGATGAGGTGAAGTGTACTTAAAGCAGTTAGAAGTTCCAGGCACCATGTAAGTGCACAGTAAGTGGCGCTTGTTGTAATTGTTGCTGCTGCTGTTGGCACAGGGCAACATGGCACGAGTGCAGAAATCACTGAATGGCAAAGGCGTCCAATGGCGGAATGGTTAAGCACTTGGCTACTAACCAAAAGGTTGGCAGTTCAAACCTACCCAGAGCTCTGTGGGAGAAAGACATGGCAATCTGCTTCCCTAGAGATTACAGCCCAGAAAACCCCATGAGGCAGTTCTACCCTGTCACATGGGGTCGCTATGTGTTGGAAGCGACTTGCTGGCACCCAACAAAAACGACAACCGAGATCCACAGAGTTGGGTTAAGCTGACCTAATTGCGAGGGACATAGGCAGCCATGGCTGAGTATTTTGTTACAGATTAAACCGTGCTTGGCTACTTTCTGTTTGTTAAAAGAATAATTCTTTTTTTTCTGTGTACAAATACTGAAAGTGTTTTTCTGCTGAGAATTTAGTATTTTCAGAGGCTGAGGTCCAGAGGGCTAGTGGTTTGTCTGAAATGAGATAACACACGGAAAGAAGCCTCTTAATGTAATGTCTGGAATGTCATCAGTGCCCGATAAGTACATGTTAAAAGTTGGCAGAATAACTAGCAAATGGTAGTAAGCACATTGACTGAGCTTATGGGCTGAGCGCTTTGCTTCTGTGAACTTTCCCCATCCAGCCTCTCAGCGACCCAGTGTGGTGGACTTTGAGGAAGGTAAAGTGATGTGTCCAGTGGATTTGAACTCAATGAAAGGTTGAAACAGTGGACCTGAGGATATTAAATACCTGAAGGATATTTTATCCGGAAAACAAGGCATTTTCATTGGGATTCATAAGGGAAAGTAAAACAAAAGAAAAAGAAGGAAAAAAATTCCAAATGTTTTTTTTTTTTCCCCCCCAGCTTGTAAATGCATTGAAAACAGTGTCCATGTTTGAAGTCCAGATTGTGGATTACAAGTATAAGTAAGTACAGAGCCTGCTCTCGGACAGATGCTGTCGTCTTTTGCTCGGATGAGTTAATGGGGGATAGAAAGCATTGGTAGGATGGGAGCTTTTGGCACTTTATAACCCAAAGGGACAGACAGTTGCCACCAGCGGTTAATGGGCAGGTGAGGACCTCAGATACAGGTGTGGTCGCTGTTCAGCGTTACGGGGCCTGATGTTGGGATGCCTTCCCATTTTCCAAGAAAAGTGATGCATCCTGATTTTTATTGGAAAGTTATAAATTTTTAAAAGTGCAACTAATTCAGAATTAAAAAAATATATATGTTGTAGGCCTAATTGGCCCTGCTACCTGCCAGGTTTCAACGTTTGACCTAAAATGATTTATCTGGGAACATTTGAAAGGTATAGAATAATATGAGATTTTTTGTCTTTTAAGCATTCACATTTCTTTTTGAATTCTGATACAAATGCAAGATCTAGAAAGACAAAATATACCTGAAATCACTGCCCAGCTAAGTTATGTTGACTTAAAAACAATAATGGTGAGAAGTAGTACACGTTTCCAGTTGAAAAGTCAAGCAGCATAGAAAAGCTTATAAGGAAAAGTGAAACCTTTTATCCTCCCCTGCCTTTGCCCACCAGGAGCCCTGGTGGTACAGTGGTTAAGTGCTCAGCTGCTAACTGAAAGGTCTGTGGTTCGAACCCACTAACCGCTCCTCGGGAGAAAGATGAGGCAGTCTGCTTCTGTAAAGATTACAGCCTCGGAAACCCTATGGGACAGCTCTAATCTGTCACATGGGGTCGCGATGAGTCTGAATGGATGATAGCGATTGGTTTTCCTCACCCACCGACAGTCACAGTCCTGCTTTCCAGATTTATCACTATAAACAGTTTTCCTTCTATGCTAAAAAAAAAAAAAAACAGTATACGTATGCCAGCATATGGATATCTAGCACAGGCAGTACTAAGGATATCGCAGAGAACATAAGCACGGAGTTTGCACCTCATTCATCGTACATTAGTTCATTTATACAACAGATCTTTACTGGGCACTGACCACGAGCTGGTCCCCATGCTCAGTGGTTGGAACCCAAAGATGAGGATGTTGGCTCTTGTCTTGAGGACCTCAGACACTAAATACACATGAATAGCAATCATAAAAATAGCTACCATTGATTGAGACTCACCATTACGCTTTACTCGCTTTATCTCCTTTCACCCTATCAGCAGTCCTGTGAGGCTCACAAGGGTGTTCCCGTTTTGCAGATTACGCTCTGCTGTGGGGACCGTCCCTCACTGCCATATGAAGAAGTGTGGGAGCCAAGCAGGGCCCCGACATCCACCTGAAAGAGTTGGGAGGGCACCTCTGAGGCTGTATGTGCTTTAAGGCTACGTAGGAGCTTCCCGGAGTCCCTGGGTGGTGCCAGTGGTTAGCTCGCTTGGCTGCCAACTGAAAGGTCAGAGGCTTGAGTCCACCCAGAGACGCCTCAGAAGAAAGGCCTGGAGACCTACTTCCAAAAAATCAGCCATTGAAAACCGTATGGAGCACAGTTCTACTCTGACACACATGGGTTGTCATGAATCAGAATTAACTCAAAGGCAACTAGTAGGAGTTTCCCAGGTGAAGAATGGCAATACCTTCATGCTTGGCCAATCTGAGTTCAGGGCAGTGTTAGTAACATAATAGTACGGAGATTTGTGAGTGCTAATCCACAGGTGTTTTCCCACACCTGGCTCCTCCAGGGGTATATTCACCTGGGCAAGTGACCATCCTTCTTTTGGTGTCAGTTCTCTTTCTGGAACGCTGAGTCACGTTTACCTGTTGCAAGTCATGGGCATTCAGCTGTTGTCTTCCTTTGCTATGTGGAGTTTTTGTCATATTGGGAAAGGATGCTCTTTAAAAAGGAGCACCTGACTGGAAGAGAACCTTCCCTTCTTAGATCCAAAATAACCTTGATTGTGTATTTTTCTTTACTTTGGGTGAAGTAACGTCGGGAGATCTAATTCCAGTATGTGTATTTAGAGTGTTATCTTTGTTCCGGCATTTCTTTGTTGCCTGATCTTAATGAACTTTTTAGCATTGCTTTTCTGTTGAGAATCGTTTATACACTTATTGTGTCTTGGACTTAAAGGATACTTTGACAATTCTAACATGCATAAAATTATGAATTAGTATGTCCATGGCGGTGCAATGGGTAAGTGCTCAGCTGCTAACCAAAAGGTTGGCGGTTCAAACTCACCAGCAGCTCCATGGGAGAAAAGACCTTCTGATCTGCTCTTGTCAAGATTACAGACTAGGAAACCCTGTGGTGCAGTTCTACTCTGTCCTGTAGGGTTGCTATGTGAAGGAACCTACTCGGCAGTACCTTACAACAACAACAATGTTCCAAAGGCAGGGAAATGCCCTGCTGGAATCTGAGATAATTTTAGGTGCACCCAGATGGCATTGAATAACTTAAACAAGGAGAAATTTCTTTTCTTTTTTAAATTCTTTTATTATCTCAAGGCAATAGTTTTTAGTTTGGTGTTAGGATGTCATAAACCAAAAACACAAATAAAACCCAAACCCATTGCTCGATTCCAACTCATAGCGACCCTATAGGACAGAGTAGAACTGCCCCATAGGGTTTCCAAGGAGCGGCTGGTGGATTCAAACTGCTGGCCTTTTGGTTAGCAGCCAGACACTTCATCACTGCACCACCAGGGATCCGAGGAAGCTAGATAAACCCTCCTAACTATTGCCCGGAGATAACCTTTAAATCTTAAAAAATATCCCCCAAAGTCTTCTTTAAACCAAACAGTAGATTAGCCTAATTAGGAAAGAATGTCTGCCTTGAGCATTGTGCTCCTTTAAAGAACTATCTGTATGGAATCAAAGATAGGAAACTTAAGGGGCAGTGAGTTTATATTAATGTGGGGGAATAATTCAGAAAAGGAGGGTGAGAATGGTTGCACAACTTGAAGAATGTAATCAGTGTCATTGAATTGTACCTGCAGAAACTTGAATTGGTGTATGTTCTGTTGTGGGTCTTCTTAACAACAACAAAAAATTAAATAAATTATTAAAAAAAAGGTAGCTGACTTAGAAAAAAATTTAAGTTACTAAATAATTAATAGCATTGGCTGTAAATTGGCAAAAAATCATAAAGGTGGAATGTGATGTAAGATGGGGGAATCTTCTCTCTGAGTCATGGGCTAACTCAGTCCTTTTTCTCTTCTCCCATCTGTCTTGTGTTGTTCTGACATTCACAGGGAACTTGGATTTTTAGACCAGCTGAGGATCACACATAACACGGACATATTTATTGGGATGCACGGAGCTGGTCTTACCCATTTACTTTTCCTTCCAGACTGGGCTACGGTATTCGAACTGTAAGTGTCTGGTGGTGGTTTTACGTGGAGGCTGCTAACAACGCTTTATGTGTGCTGAACCTTTCGTTCAGAATGTCGAAAGGCTTAATATTTAATCATTACAGGGAAGTCACATTCTATAGGCATCTACAAAAACAGAAAGATCCAGTGCTAACAATTTAGTCTGCTGCTTGCTGTGGCACCTAGCAAGCAAACCACCCCTTCCTCCTTGCCAGCCCCCTCAACATAATGTGAAAAGATGTGACACTGTGTCTTCTGTATTCTGAGCTCCTTGCTGTGTGCCTCTCAGACTGTGAGCTGTGAGAATACCCTGCACTCAGTGTAATTATTATGTTAAAAGAGAATGTGTATGTCTAGTGAGCAACACAGCTTCCAACACAAGCCAGCCGCTTGGCTTCTCGCTCACTGACGTCATCTCCAGGGAGACTGAGGCCCTGGATGGGGTAAGTGATTTCTGGGGCACTGCTGTAGTTACGGAGACCTGGCCTTCCCTTCCTTAATAATTCTATTCACGCCCCATCTTCAGTTCTGGACACACCAATAGCAATTACTGTTACCTTATTTTTCCTACTGTGTGCTAAGTATCTGGATCTTATGGCTGCATTTTAAAAATACTTTGACTCAGTATTTAAATGGGGGACTATTCAGAAAAAGTTGTCAAGAACTTCCCACCCCCTGCAAACCATTCTACATAACATTAATCATTAACATGACAAAGATAACCCATTCCCTAGTAGGATTATAACCAGTGGCATAGAGGCTAGGATTTACCACACATATTTTCAGGGGACACAATTCAATTCATAACAATTCTGTTCTGTTTTTGAAAAGTTAAGGTCATCTAGTTCTGAGAAGATTTTAAAAATAATCTCTCTCAGCCTTTTTTAGTGTTTATAAAACCTTTTGCATGAATATATTTGAGGTGTGCATTTCCTCCAGAACTGTTGATTGGGAAAAACCCCTGGCTGAAAGCCTCATATGTGGACACCCTGTGTCCTTAGGTACAACTGTGAAGATGAACGCTGTTACTTAGACTTGGCAAGACTCAGAGGTGTCCACTATATCACTTGGCGGAAGCAGAACAAAGTCTTTCCTCAAGATAAGGTAAAGTTCCATCACAAAACTCATCTTGTTTTGCTTTTTAATTGGTTTAAGAAGTATCTAATTATTAATATGAAAAACTGTTATTGCATTTCAATCCTAAGATAAACTGTTCTTTGTACTAGTGAGTTGTATTTTATATTAACAACTTGGAGGAAAAGAGGAATTAAAAACTCTATATCTTCAACATCAATATGACAACTTTGTGAAATCTGGACCTATAAAGATCTATTAAATTATATGTAGCAGGGATCAACAAAGTACAGCTCTGGAGGCCAAGTCCGACCCACTGTCTGTTTTTATAAATAAAGTTTTATTGGAACACAGCCACGCTCATTTTTTTATGGATTGTCTATGGTTGCTTTTGCCCTACAATGGCAGACTTGAGTAGTTGCAACAGAGATTGTAGGGTTCGCAAAGCTGAAGATATTCATTACCTGGTCCTTTACAGAAAAAGTTTGCTGACTTTTGACCTAGAGCATAAATTAAAATGCTTGCTTGGCCAAAGTAAAATGATTTTTTTTCCTGTACAGAAAACAATGTCCTCAATTACTTATAGATTTGTATTTGGTTTGCTCTTTGCAGGGCCATCACCCCACTCTGGGAGAGCACCCAAAGTTTACCAACTACTCTTTTGACATAGAAGAATTTATGTACCTTGTCCTCCAGGCCGCAGACCACGTATCACAACACCCAAAGTGGCCATTTAAGAAAAAACATGATGAGCTATAAAAGTGTTGAGTCTGTTTGCCAAGAGAGAGTATTTAAACCGGGAATACCCAAAGTCACTATTAAATCAGTTAAAAAAAAACAACAACAAAATACCTGTTATTTCCTACCCCAAAATGACCTTTTCTGTACCCAAACATATCTTCAAGGTATTACTTATTTGTTTTATAGTCTTTTAAGTGTTTTGCACGATTTCTGTGTCATTGCTATTTATCAAGATAATATTTTTGCACTGGAAACTTTTGTAGTTCAGAAGCTAGACATGGGCTTGCTAGGCTAACTGAACTTTCCTTTTAGTGATACCAAAGATTTCAACTTCCTTAGCTTTAGAATTTGTAAATGTTTTTGTAGAATACCATGTGATTGTGCTTTGGAGCGTCCCAACTTGTTTATGATATATTTGGGTAAATTCACAACCGTTCTTTTATTTGTCATAATCTGTTCACTAAGACTGTTTGTGGTAAGAAAGGAAAACTCCGTACAGCACATACACGTTCTTAAGACTTTCCATAGTTGTGGTTCTTGGTACCAAGCTGTAGGACCACTTTATAGACTGAATAGTGTTATAAACAGACCTATTTTGTTCTATCATCAGAGCCCAAACCAACTGCCATTGAATTCTCTGCTATATCCTTGTAATCAGCTCCAGGTGATGTACCTCAAGAAATAGACCGTGATTTTATATTAATTTATATTCATATAATACAATTCATATTCAAATCATGTATTTGATTTATCATTTATCCATGTATCGTATGTAACAGTTACATATGATAAAAACAAATTCAAACATTCTGTAGGACTATCTTGTGTACCTTATAGATGATTTTCACTGACTTCTTAACCGTGGAGAGCATTTATGTTGAATTTATTTATCAAATGCAGATTTCTATTGTGCGTGTATTTGTAACTGCGTGTATCTGTGTGTGTGCATCTACCTCTTATTAGCATGAAAGTATCCAATCTTTATTTTTGCAAATGTCATACTGGCCACATGAAGACAATTTCTCCCTATAAAAAAGTACAGACGCATGTGAATTATCCAGTTCAAACTGAAAAAGAATTAAGCCATAAGAAAGTGCCAGTGATTGAAAAAGCATCTGGAATGAAGTCCCATTCTTTGAATGGGATTCATTTCTGATAGTGTGTGAGCTTTTATTTTAGCAATCGGAAGCCCTGGGTTTATTTTACTGCAGAATGTAAAGTTTACATTTTATGAACACTTGAGTCATCTAGAGACTAGTGACTTCTGTTTTTGAAAGTAGGAGGATAGCAAACTATAGCGGAGCTAAGAGTTTTTTTTTTTTTAATTTTAGAGTTGTTAAAGGAAAAAAGAAAAAGAAGAACATACACAGAGAAGCTAAGTGGCCCACAAAGCCTAAAATATTTGCTACCTGGCCCTTTACAGAAAAAGTTTGCTGAGTCTTGCTTTAAAGGATTATGGACCGCTTCCTAGAGTTGAGGGATGTTTATTAAAGTGTCTATAAAGAAATAGTGAATCACTGTGGCAATAGCTTTGATTTGGATCTTACAATTGTGTAAAAAGAGCTACATTATGAATATGTAAATAACAGGTATTGCTACTGTTTTTTGTGCAGAATACTGAATAACCACTGGGAAAATATTTCACAGGAAAAGAATTGTAAAGACAATGTTGCACTTTTAGTCAGAGAGGTATAAACATCTGAAAAAGCTATCTGGAAAAAATACTGTTTCAATGTTTATCTTACCTCATTTTAAGGAACACGTGGGAACTGTTGATTCTATAGGGTAACAAGCATTTCAGAAATTGAGAACCATTTTCTGATAAAACTATTATATTTGCATATTTTGCATTTAAAGAGAATAAGCTTTATAATAAACAAGAAAATACATTTGACACTTTATCGAATTAGCTTTTATCAGACTTTTTTATAGGAACAAAAGAAGGTGTCCAATTTGTTATAAAATTTTAGATGTGAAGGCTGCTGTTTGTATCGATTTAAGTCTTTAAAAGGGATGCATTTCAATTATTTGTACATTTTAGGTATGCCTTTGGAATAAATCTTTTTATATTTTATTTGAATGTCAGAATATTATTTTCAAGGTTTTCTGTGTCTGACTGTTATATGCTTACTTCTCTGACAATGTGTAGCTATTTGATGATAAAAAATTAAGCAGCTCACCCGTGTAGAATTTGGTGTAAGCAAAAATCACACCTTACGTTTATTTAGCATTTTATTAGATGATGCTTTTCTAAATGTTATATGGTATAATCCTTACAAAAATGATAGAAGAATTATTGTTCCCATTTTATACGGGAAGAAAATCAGATGCAGTTTGAGGGACTTTCTTAAAGGTCCCAGATCTTCTGTTCCACAACCATAGTCTACCATTCATTTACTTGCCTGCTTGTTCAGTAAATACTGAGTGAGCAACTATTGCTATTCCAGCTTCTGGGGGTAATTCTGGCGGTGAAATGAAGAGACGAAAATCCTTGCCCTCATGGAATTTACATTGCAGCAGAAGAGACAGGCAATATACAAGTTGGTAAAATATACTGTATTTATAGCCAAACGCTGATAAATGCTGTGCAGAAAACTAAAGCAGAAAAGAGGCTGTGGAGTTCTGTGCCGAGGTGGAGTTCTGTGCCGAGGTGGAGTCCCGCACACTGAAGTAGGGATCAAGGAAGGCCTCACTGAGGAGGTGGTATTTGAGTTGAGACTTGAAGGCGGTAAGGGAGGAAGCAATGCAGACAACCGGGCAAAGAGCATTCCAGGAAGACAGAACAGCAAGTACATAGGCCCTGAGGCAGGAGCATGCCTGGTGTGCTTAAGGAATAGCAGAGGCCAGTGTAGCTGGAGCAGAGCAATCCAGGAGCAGAGCAGTAGATGAAATCAAAGAGGTAATGAGAGGAGGGTGTGGATTGTCCTTTGATTCTGATGAGATGGGAGCTGTTCAAGGGATATGAACACAGGAAAAGCATGGGCTGACTGACTTTTTGAAGAGAGTAACTCTAGCTATTAAGAAAGACTGTGGAAGAAGGTCTTAGGTCATGTTCCCTGGAAAACAGACTCAGGGATGGAGAGTCGTGTGCAGGTCGTTTAGTGGGGAGGGTTCTCATGATCCACACCTGTGAGGAAGGACGGTGAACAGGATTGGGCAGATGGAGAAATTGAACCGCAGTGCACCAGCAGGTGAGGACTCAGCCAGGGAGCTCTGGAGCTGGCCTGGTCCTTTAGAGAGGTCCTCAAATGAGGCAAGAGATCCCCGTATCCACTAGTCATCAGATACGAGCTGTCATGGATTGAATTGTGTCCCCAAAAAAGTGTCAACTTGGCTAAGCCATGATTCCTAGTATTGTGTGGTTGTCCTCCATTTTGTGATCTGATGTAATTATCCTACGTGTTGTAAATCCGAACCTCTATGATGTTAATGAGGCAGGATTAGAGGCAGTTATGTTCATGAGGCAGGACACAATCTAGGATTAGGTTGTATTGAGTCAATCTCTTTTGAGATGTGAAAGAGAAGCAAGAGAATAGGAGAGGGACCTCCTACCACCAAGAAAGAAGCACTGGGCATGGAGCGTGTCCTTTGGACCTGGTGTCCCTGCACTGAAAAGCTCCTAGATGAGGGAAAGATTGATGGATGACAAAGACCTTCCCCAGAGTCAACAGAAAGAGAAAGCCTTCCCCTGGAGCTGGCACCCTGAATTCAGACTTCCAGCCTCCTAAACTGTAAGGGAATAGATTTCTGTTTGTTAAAGCCATCCACTTGTGGTAGTTTTGTTAACGCAGCACTAGGTAACTAAGACACAGGCCATCCCCAGAGAGGGGTGTAACCTCAGACAACGCAGCTCCCTTCAGCTGAAGGCAGTATCTGGAGAGGAACTCAGCTGCAATCCATCAGTGACCAAAATTCCCGTCAACGGGGGACTGAGTGCCTCAGTTTGAAGTGGATGTGGATGGCACACTACAACATCCACTACATTGTTGAGTGGTGCCAGTTAGTGTGTTCCACTAGCTGCCTATTTCTTGTCAACTGGAAGGCTTCATTAGATGCAAATTTAATTTTTTTTTTTTGAATAGTGCTTAGACGTGATACTGTGTAATTCATATTGCACCAATTTTAGTGATAGTAAGATTGATCAGTGAGTTCAGGGGATAAATCCTGATTTCTTTATTGGAAAGTCCCCCATTGACCTTCCTCTGAGTCTTTCTAATTCCATCATTCCTTCTGCATTTCTGCATAGAAAAACGTTCCCTTATCCCGTAGGCTCTTTGGTTACCCTGAAAGTTCATATCTGAAAAGCAGGAGAAATATTTAATTCTTTCCCTTTAGTGAGGAATTTTCAAAGTAATGAGTTTGGTGCCTTAGCAAACTCCAGTAGTGTGCAATGAGTTTTATTTCCTTTTTTCTTTCCCCTCTCTTTAAAAAAATTTTTTTTGTCATTAAGAATATACGCACCAAAACATACACCAATTCAGCTGTTGCTACACGTACAATTCAGTGACGTTGATTACATTTCTCGAGTTATGCAACCACTCTCACCCTCCTTTTCTGAGTTGTTCCTCCTCCATTAACATAAATTCACTGACCCCTAAGGTTCCTAGCTAATCTTTGGAGTTACTGTTGTCACTTTGATCACATATAGATAGTTCTTAAAAGAGCACAATGCTTGTGATGGTTAAGCTTATGTGTCAACTTGGCTAGGCCATGATTTTCAGTGGTTTCACAGATATTATGTAATCATCCTCCATTTTGTGAGCTGATGTGAGCAGCTAATCAGTTGAAAGGGGAGTTACCTTGGGGGTGTGATCTGCATCCTGTATGTATATGTATATATAGTGATGTTCTGGCAAAGCTTGTGCTTTCTTGATTCTGCATCTGACTCATCATCCTCTGACCTCTGGTTCTTGGGACATGAGCCAGCAGCCTGTCATCTGACCTGCCTGCTGATTTTGGGTTCGTCAGCTCCTGCAACCACGTAAGTCATGAGAAGCCTCCAGCCTGATGCCTGACCCGCAGATTTTAGACTTGCCAGCCTCCACAATTGTGCGAGCCATTAACTTGAAATAAATCTATATATATACTTACATATATAGGCTTCACTGGTTTGGCTCCTCTAGAGAACCCAGCCTAAGACAATGCTCACCAAACCAAAACCAGACCAATTGCCATCGAGTTAATTCCGACTCATAGCAACCCTATAGGACAGAGTAGTACTGCTCCATAGGGTTTCCAAGGAGCAGCTGGTGGATTTGAATTGTCAATCATTTGGTTAGCAGTTGACCTCTTAACCACCGTGCCACCAGGGCTCTAGACAATGTTCGAGGCAGACATTTTTTACTATTTTAAATGAATTATTGTTTGGTTTTAAGACAACTTCAGGGATATTTTTGGTTTAAAGTTTAAAGAGTGTCTCAGGGCAACAGTTTCAGGGGATCATCCATCTCCCATGGCTCCAGAAAGTCTGGAATCTATAAGAATTTGAAATTCTGTTCTGCATTTTCCCCCTTTTGGTCAGGATTCTTCTATAGAATCTTTTGATCAAAATGTTCAGTAATGGTAGCCAGGCACCATCCAGTTCTCCTGGTCTCATGGCAAAGGAGGCAGTTGTTCATGGAGGCAATTAGACACACATTCCATTTCCTCCTCCCATTCCTGACTCTCCTCTTTTCTTTGTTGTTCTAGGTGAGTAGAGACCAATCATCATGTCTTGGATGGCTGCTTGCAAGCTTTTAAGACCCCAGGTACTGTGCAACAAACTAGAAGGTAGAACAGAAGCACGAAACACGTTATTAGGTCAATTAACAGCGATGTCCCATGAAACCAGGATCCTAAACCTCCAAACCAAGGAACCAAATCCCATGAGGTATCTGGTTGTACATAAGCAGCCTTAGCAGCTACTCTTTTCTTCCCCCTCTCTCTTTTCTTTCTTTTTTTCGTATCATTGTGAACGCGTAGCCTTTTATATATTCAACATTTTTATAAATGTCAGAAATTATTCTTTCTGATACTCAGATTATTCCATCTTTTGGCCAGTAGAAACCCTTTCAAGTTGGCTTCTGAATCCTTTGGTCCTTTAATAGCCTACTTGCTGTCTGGTCCTTGAGTGGCACGAACAGTTTACACTCGAACACGAACAGTTGGCAGTTCGAACTCACCCAGTGGTAGTGTGGAAGAAAGGCCTGGTGATCTACTTCTGTAAAGATTATGGCCACGAAAACATTATGGAGTGGTTTTACTGTGTAACACATGGGGTTGCCATGAGTCAGAATCGACTCAGTAACGACAGGTCTTTGTGTGCCATCTGGCACAAGATATCCCAGGCTCATCTTGTAAACCTCTTAGCCCAGCCATAGAACCTGCCATTTCTTCAAAGATTCCTGGTTCCTTCTAGAGAAAATGGTATTTAGAGACCACAATCTTAGCCCTACTATTGGGGGTGTTTATTGTCCCTAGGCCTTTTCTGTGACTAACACCAGGAAACACACATTTTTTATAAGGTAGGGAAAACCACCAGTCCACGTTAGTCCAAACTTCCCCAAGTCAAATGTTAATAGTATAATGTTATGCTTAAGTTCTTTGATTTTATGCTTGTATCTCTTTTTCTTCCTTCGGTGAAAATTTTGGCTGAGGGATTTTTTTTTTTTTAAGTCACAAAAACAAAGAGAACGGGAAGAGCGAATGGACAAACTTCAGCAAACTGGAAAACAAACAAGTTTTAAGTGTCTTAACATGCATGCGAAAGCTGGACAATGAAATAAGAAGACTGAAGAATTGCTGCCTTTGAATTATGGTATTGGTGAAGAATATTGAATATACCATGGACTGGCAGAAGAACACACAAATCTGTCTTGGAAGAGGTACAGCCAGAGTGCTCCTTGGAAGCGAGGATGGTGAGACTTGTCTCACGTACTTTGGACAAGTTATTAGGAGGGATCAGTCCCTGGAGAAGGAGATTATGTTTGGGAGGGTAG